TGCCTACGAGTGGAGCGATTTTGTAATGTAAACTACGGGCTAGTAGGGCCGACTGTGTACAGTTAGATAACTGCAGCTGATTTGAGGAGCCAACACTTTAATATCTGGAGGTCTGTTAGGAGGAGACAACGTTTGGTGGGTTGTGAGAAGAAATCCCCGTTGTCTAGGCACCAACAAATAGAAGCGATCACAAACCATGACTGTTCTGGGCGCACATTCCTATTTGATTTTTTCATTAATAAATTTGCTGAAGCTGAGCTGCAAACAACAATTCTAAGAAGTTTGGCGTATTCTCACCTTCCCATTTGTGTTTTCCACGTGTGAGGAACATAAAGGAAATCGTACAACGTCAAAAAGTATTTCACCTATCAGGTTGCGGAGAACGCTCGCTTACTTGCGCATCTGGGCAAAATGTAGAGCCCACACAGCCAGTTGATGGAGAAAAGATAAACGACAATAATAATAATAATAATAATAATAATAATAATAATAAGGGAGGCAGAGATAACCATCTGTGGATTGTTGGCCGTCGTTAGCCAGTCGTATCGGGGATTCGAACTTGAACTTTTTGGCAATTGAACACCGCTCTACCATCGGATCACGGACCTATCGTCTTGTCGTTTGCGATCAAGAATATTAATCATCCGCAAGCTACAATTATCCTTGACGTATCATGCCTGGAATTGCTGATACACCGATGAAAAAGGGCTGAAAACTGCGCGATCCGAGGTGTTTGATTTATGGTTCTCCGGCCCTCATTCGATTAACAAGAGTAATCACCTCCGCTTTTTTATTCTGTGCTGAGAGTTTGCCTGGGCAGATTAGTTAGCCACGCGGCGAGGGTGAGACCCCCAACAGGTAAAAGGACAACTAGTAGAATGTCCACGTAAGCACCAGATCAATAATCGAAACCTATTGAGAGTTTACGACCTTTCACGACTCGGGCGCGGGTTAGCAAACAATCCTCGCATCGAGTACGAATTCCAACTAGGAACACAAGATCTGTTAAACGGAGTAGGCATATGGTTGCACGGCAGCTGTGTCCTATAGATGATGCACCCTACGCGTCTCCATCACCCTTGTCCACGATTGTGTCTGATGATGGGTTCGAATGAAAATCCGAAACGTCAAGCCGGTATACGTCCTGTTCCAGTTACCGCATCTTATAATGAATTTATTCGGTGATCTTACCTCATCTGCACCACTCACCATTTTAATTTCGCTGCCACCGAGATAATTTGTCCTGCCAGAAACAATACAAGTCGCGAATTGATTGAAGTCTGGGTCTCAGATGACAACCCAGTCGGTCGATGTATCGATCATGCACCGGAACACAGAGCCCCACTCAGCCACTTCCAGACCTACATCACTGATGTTTGATTGCCTCATCCCCTGTAACTTACCTGCTCTGCTGCCGCCTTTATCCTTGACGATAGACTCTTGCACGAGTTCGACAGATCAAGCAAACAAAGGAATGGTTCCGGTGAACTGACGGTCTTCTTCCTTACTCACTCAGAAGCGCACGAGAAGTTGAAAAAGGCCAAATAGTTGTTCCCTCTGAGTGTTTTTACAGACGTGCACGTGGACGGTTGCCCCAACAACGGGCCACGCCGCAGATGCGCTGGCCCAACACGGAGGCTACACTAGAGTACGACATGCGTTAGCCAATCAGCGCAGAGTCCGCACCTCTCACAACAAATGTAACACATTTGAGGGGTGTGGGGTGTGGCACGCCTAGGCTCAGGCCTCGCGTTAGCCAGCCACTTGTGCCCAATCTCCGCATAACATGGCTGGTTGGCTTGAACAGTGTGCGTGGTGAGGGCGGGAGTAAGATCAACTCTGGGGACTCGCGTCCTCACCATACCCTATCTGATGCGCTCTAAAACTGTCATGGCAGTTAAAAGTCCTGGCCTGAAAGGCCGTAAACCCAAGGAATAACCCAGTATTCTCAGGACGGAAAGTCAGGTTATATCGGTTCCTGAATGTGACCTCTATGACATTCCCACTCCTAGCCTCTGTACGAACCTAGTTTGCCGTGTACGGGGCAGGTAGTGTGTAGCCCGCGTGGATTGGCCGTTCGGCTTTGTCAGCCACGGCTCCCGATCCTGCCTCAGGTCACTTTGCCAGTTCCTTTCCACTGGGCCATTTGAGTGAGGGGGGAGAGTGAGGTAGATGGTGCGCAAGTCTGCTATTACCATAAACTAATTTACACACAATTCACCGTCCTGCACCCACCATGTCGTGGGGCACACCGTAGACGTTGTCATCATCGAGGCCAAACTGACGCGCGTAGACAGAGGGCCCCGATACGCAATAATACACGCGGAGCTAAAAGAATTTAACTGATTCTGGCAAATTTCTTTATTTCCCCAACTGTAAAGTTCAGTAGTTTGCCACTTCTGACCAGTCAACCAGATTTAGGTACAAAACTGTGTAGACTACTTGTCCCTGATGGCCATATAATGCTGGGGTTTAGGAGCATCGCGTGCAGGGTGGGCCGTATCCTGCGAATGGTAACTGTTCCACACGCTCCTTAACTGATACCCATCTCTCACCTGTGGCTCCCCAAAGCTGGGCGCTGCCTAGCGACCACACCCCGGGAAGCGGAATCGGTCAGAGAGCTAGACTGGATGAGGGTATCCGGTGTTGTGTGCGTCATCACACACGGTAATTCTGCTCCCTTCCCATTCCCACCTTTCCCCCATTCTCAGTAGTCCTGGGGAGAGAGCAATCCTGTAAGCAGCCATGGCTAACTCGTGCTACTCTCCACTAAACAAAAGCGTTACGCATGACTGAGTTCTGCAGTCGTCCGGGATGCCCAAACAACCCTATTAAGGGACAGTGCTGCTTACCTCCTGGTGGGAAAGAGCTGGAAACGATGCCCTAAACAACTGCTGGGAAATCACGCCGTCTGAATGTATACCGTGACCCGTAGATGCAGAATTCCCGGTCGAAACACAATAACTAGCACGAAAGACAACCCTTATCCCCGTCTACTCCTCTCCATCACTCAGCCTGATAGAGTGAATCCGCCCATTCTGGCAGCAAGGAATTGTTCGTTCTCTTTTAGACAATCCGAGGAGAAATTGGCTGGAAAGGCGGACGGCGCCAGTCGCTCGAGAATTGGCGTGCTATAAGGCGAACATCGCTAATCTCAGAAAGACCTGCTTCTCTGAGCAAGGTCAGCTGTGGTATGTGGGTGCCGGCAATACCTTCTTCCGGAGAGGTCGTTCAAAGGAAGATCGAAAGGACGCCGGTATCGAATTTGCCATCCGGGCAACATCATTGGACGACTTCCCCGTCTGCCGCGGGGCCCTAACGACCGACTGGTGAGCCCGCGCCTTCCTCTTCGGGGAGCCAAATTGATAAGCATTGTCAGCGCCTAGGCTCCCTCCCCCCAAAGACCATTTCCTAGGGAACGAAGAACAAATTCTACGAGGATTTGCACGACCTCTTGGCCTTGCTGACTTCAACACCCCTGTTGGGACAGACCAGGCTGCCTGGATGGGAGTGCTGGGTCCCAATGGATTCGGCGGCTGCAACAACAATAGCCTCATCCTTCGGCGAACCTGCGCTGAATGGCGTCTTATTCCGCCTTCCGATGCATGAGAAGGCAAACTGGATGCATCCCCGATGGCGGCACTGGCAGTCATTGGACTATGTTCTGGTCCGGAGGCGAGATCAATAGGACGTGTTGGTGACCAAGGTGATCTGTAACGCCGATGGCTGGACGAATCACCGTCCCGTCGTCTCCAGGATGACGCTCCACCTGTAACCTCGCAGAAGTCCACAAGACAAAAGATCACCAGATCAGTTCAATACTGTTGTGGTTAATTCGCCCACTCAACGTCTCCCATTCAGCAGTCAACTGACCCAGCGACTGGAAGATCCGCAACCTGCAGACGAAAACGTCCCCGCGGACACTTAATGGCGCTAACTGCGGGACGCCGTTCACTCGACAGTTCTGGGTGTCCTTTGGATGCGCATGTCGTCAGCTTCAAGATTGGTTTGGGAACAACGAAGCAGGTTTGAGGAAAAATATGGGCTCACCGGAACGAGTAAAACTAGGTGCTGACGTTGCGAAGAGCTAGGTTGACTCACCGTTGTCAAAGTGTTGGTCGGCTCTCATGCTGATCGATTTTTCTCTCCTCTCGCTGTCTCGGCCTCTCGGGGGATGGCTGGCGGGCGCTTTATCTGCGTGCTTTATGGACCTCGTGGAGGGGAGGCAAGTAAACCTCTTCCGGATGGTCGGTCTGGCGGCGCTTTTTCTTCCTCGCCGAGTAAACTCGTTGTCGGGCTGCCTTTTTATGGCCTTCCTAAGTCTGCTATGGTTGTTTGGTTCTGAGCTCTGTGAACTTGGTGACGAAAGGCTTTGCAAACTGCAGGAAAACCCAGACGCCTATTGATGTGGTTGGCATCTGCGTATCAAACCTCAAGTATTAACCGTTCTGCCTTTGGGTTGTCCCGGTCTAAGATGATAGCACCCTGGAGATCGAAAGTATGGTCATTTTCTCCAACTTACGTTGCAAGTTGAGAGTTTGCATTTAGTCTCCGAACTGTAGGCGGGTCTGCAATGCTCGCACGGTTTCCCAACCCACTTGCAGTTCCCAGCATAGTAACCTATTTTGTAGACAGCTGCTGAGGTTTCAGCAGCTGGCAATGTGCCCTAGGTCGCATCAGACGGCGCCGAATTGTTACCTTTGGTCGATAGGCTATATGTACTCTAGTGAGTTGTAACAGTCCACAGACTGCCCGGAGAACCCTTCAATGTAGTAAATGAGCCTCAAGACTTCGTGTTGCTGCTCCTTTGGCCGTTATCCGTGAGCCCTGTCCCTGATTTTTCCAATAAAATTGCTGCGATAACTATTAGCTGTGAAGAGGTTTTGAAGGTACACTCGTCCGGCCCCTTTATTTTCTGGCATGCTACTGTGTCAAAAGAAGAAGTGGCATTCATCGGGAGGGGTTTATTGGAGGTCCGACGTTTCGAGTAGTTTATTCGTCTACCCATCTTCAGGGACTGAAAAGTCCTGCGCACAGTTCCCCTTATATGGCGCACTTTGTTCAATGCGTGACCCGCCAATGCCGCCTGCGTAGCTGCATTCAACCCGCACGTCACCGTGACCCGAATCGCCCACGCCGACCGCGGAGATGACTGACGACTCCGATTGTCCCGCGCCGTGACTGTCCCTCGTCAAGAATGTCCGCAAAACCGGATATGGGGGAGGCAAATTGGTGTGGCGGTTGACAGAGCAGTCGGTGGACATCCAGGCTTCTTGCACTTGCCTTGCTGTATGATCACCGCCCCGGCCCACAGTCTCAACGGCGTCAAAGTTGAAGTTGTGCACCATTTGCGCGACATGGGTTGCGACCTCCGACTTCGGACCCAACCCTGGCACGGCCAACTTATGCTGGTGCATTCGCGTTTGTAGCCATCGGCCGGTTTCCCGAACGTAACTGCACCTTCCGCAGCTGCATTGAAGTCGGTAGACAACGGCCGACATCTCCTGCTTAGGGATCGGATCTTTTGGCCTCATCACTAGCCGGCGGATTGTTGAGTCAGGCCTGTGGGCAGCACCTATTCCGAGTGGCGCGAGGGATCTAGCCACGGCTTCGGAGACCGCTTTAATGTACGGAATGCTCCGCCACGAGTTTGGCTGACTATGTTCTTCATTGCGTTTCTTTGGCTGCCTTCGGCTCCGTTCAACGAATGCCCGCGGATCGCCGTTGACTCCGAAGAGTTCTTGGAGGAGCTTGATCTCGTCCAGTTCGGCGGCTGGCGTGCTGCAATGAGTTTCCACCCGTCGGTGTAGCGTGAGGACAGAGTTTCGTTTGTGTTGTAGCGAGTGGTTGCTGTTGCAGCTAAGCATTTGCAGCGTGTTCGTCGGCTTTCTGTAGACCGACGTCGCTACTTTGCCGTTTGCTTGGCGGCAGACGAGAAAATCCAAGAATGGAAGTTTGTCCCCCACTTCCTCTTCCATTGTGAACTGTAGATCGGGAGTGATTGAATTCAGTAGTTCCGCATAGTAGTTGATTTTATCCTGATTTATGATTTTAAGGGTGTCATCAACGTAGTATGTCCAAAACTTGGGTTTGAACTCCTCGAATAGTCGTCTCTCGATTTTTTGTAGAACTGCCTCGGCTATGAGCCCAGAGATTGGCGAACCCACTGGAGTGCCCCTGGTTTGTCCGTATGTGATCCCCTCGAGCGTAAAAAATGTCTTGAGGCAGTGCCTCATGATTTCTATGAGATATTGAGCTGTGGGCTGGCCATCATCACCGTCGTTATTTTGACGTAGCAGGTCACCAAGCGTTTCGACCGCAAGGGCCTGTGGTATGAACGTGAAGAGTGAGACGACGTCAAAAGACACCATCTTCTCATTCGGTTCGATCGTGACTGCCCTTCTTTTGTCAAAGGCTTCTTCTACTGAGTGCACCGTTGTTTGTGAGGCTGCAGTTAGGAATCTTAGCTTCTGAAATAGCCAGCTTGCAAGCCCGTATGTTGGTGTGCTTCGGAGTGAGACGATTGGACGGGGGAAGGAACATCCGGCTTCTGTTCTTTTGGGAGACCGTAGAATCTCGCCATAGAGGTTTCTGCGGGCTTTGCCATATACCAGTCCTTGACGGTGATGACCTTGGCCACTAGGGATTTTAGACTGTCGGCGTCGCTGACTTTGTAGGACTCCTGATCGTTAAGGAGCATGAGGGCTTTGTGTCGGTAGTTTACCTTGTAAAGGATAACAGTGAACGTCTCTTCTTCTTTTGATATGCCACCTGGGAATCGCATTTTCACTACTATTGATATACTACTGTGTATTTCGACCCTTTGGAATAGAGTGCGACCACAGCTGCGTTTATGAGACAGAGGATGATTGCTGGTTTAAGCGTAGTATTTACCTCGTGTCGGTAGTTTTCCTGAATGCCGTTGCACTTGTCCAGTTAGACACCGGCCCACAAACACGTCGTTTGTTTGTTTCAGCTTCGATCGGGAATTGAGTATCCGGGTCAACCGAGTTCAGTAATGCCTTTAGGCGCTCAATGTCAGTTGTTTTGGCAATGACAAAGGTCTCATCGACATAACGAGCCCAGAACTTTGGTTGATCGTTGTTGAACACTAAGTATTCTATCCGTTGGAGAACTACTTCAGCAACCCACTCGTTAAAAAGCGTAAGCTGCAGGGAGCGTACATTGACCGCCCGACCGATACAAACAAAGCGGCCTTCTACCGATGTCGCCGCCAGCCGCGGGTTTGGGGCCTTGGTGAATGCACGGTGCAAACATAATTAGTTCATCCACTAGATGGCAGACACAGGTATAAAGGGGCGCTACAGGGAACGTAGGGACAAATTTTCTGCCAGTCTCAATTAACTTCCAAGGCATATGATCAGTACACATGCCTAGGGACTAAACAGAGTTTAGCAGAAATAAGTCATCGTCCAGCCCTTGTCCAAGTTAATGAGCACATCGATTGAGGACTTGCGAAGGAGCTACGTAACCGCATCGGGCTCGAAATCGTCTCAACTCTTTTCCTAATTTGTCAATGGTTTGTGGTGAACTGACCAGAATTACTTGACGTGTGGGCTGAAAGCTCGAGATGAGGATAAGTCTGATGGTCACCAACACCTTTGGTCATTGGCGTTAGTTTTGAAAATCGAGTTCCGCAGGTGAGGCGGGGGGGGGAGGGAATGGACGGAGATGTAGCTTCGCGATCGACGATGGCGATTCGTTGGCCCCAGACAGTTAGGGACAGAAAAGTTCGCTTGCTGCCTTTGACGACACATGCGTCCACTACTGGGTTATTTATAATCATGCCGTCAGGACTTCATCCTCACGGGACATTAGCGCATTCATTTTTACAATAAATCAGACGCGCTATAAAACTTTCAAGACAAGCTTAAATTCATGGCTTGGAAGACTCACAACTGAGGGGATGATCCAGTCTCCTCAGGTCGGAGAGTCAGGTCAGGGCGTCACTGGCGAGAACCTCTTCAATCGAGTAACTGGCCAAATCCGAGAATTAACTTAATGGTGTGTAATTGTCCAAGTCCCAGGCCCAATCATCCCTTTTACGGGAAGCTCGCCACTCGCTTATTTCCCTACGGCTTCGAGACCACTGTTTCCATCTCCGACGGCCTCAAATAGAATCCAGGCATCCAACCGAGTGCCCCAGGGCTATGACCTCTCCACCACCACTCCATGGTCTGCTCATTCGTCTTTCGGCAGAAGCCAGCTACCACCGCCGCTCCAGTCAATCGTATGTTAATCCAGATTTGTTTTGCCAAATAGCAAACAATTTATGCTTTTTCACGTTTGAAGCAACTCGGGTGTTTCAGTGCTCCCATCCGTCCCACTTTATATGAGGTTATGGTGATTCAAAAGTCTTCCGTTATTTCTGCTCTTCAGTGTCGGGGACCCTTTTAAAATCTGGCCTTTTTCCTTCTGAAAACGCATTTTTATAGCTGCTCCCAAATCCTTTCAGTTAGTCAACAATTCCCTTCTGTCTTTGGGCAGTCTAGTACGCTCTAGCTCGTGTTTTTTCCGTTCTTATTACTAAGCGGAGATCGAACTAATCCTTAATCCGAAATGCGCTTTGCTTTGGAAATCAAACAATTCATTCGAGAAATCCCCCACCGCCGTCTATATTCAATATAAAAGGGACAGCCTCGACGTGTACTGGTGCAGTCTGCTGGGAAATTTACCTAGATCTGACAGTTGCTTCCAAATGGACACCATTACTTGATCGTAGTTTCAATGCTGGTTGGTGAGAAGCAGTCTCTAGTGAGTTTATCTACACTACCACACTGACTTGTTGAGCATCCCTCAAACAACCTGAGGAAATTGCTCTCGGCAAAAAACGAATGCTTACATCGTGCGTATTTTGTTTGATACAACCCACTTTTCGTCGAATATATTCATACGAATTTGTACTTGAAGAAAGGTGTGACCAATCCTAGTAAATGTTCGCTAATTCCTTTATATTTTGAGGTACAACTTGCGTTTTCCCTTATTACAGAGCTTACCATTTTCCTTCTGTTTGTCTTCGCCATGTCCAGGTGAGGGGGCCTTTGTATGCCCATAAAAATTACAATAGACGTGAATTTCACTGCATACTCTGCAAGCCGCATCGACGAAACCGTGGGTATTAGACAGCGCGAATAAGCACGCGCGCTGTCCCCCCTCAAAGTATAATATTCAGAGAAAAAGTTAGGTTGTGTAAGATGGGCTGGAAGGAAATTGCTGTAAAGTCTTTCTTAGAATCATCAAGACTCATTAAAAAGAATAATCCATTCAAGTGGTAGTTTTTTTCTCGAGAATGTAATCAGCCCAAGATCAACGTTCATTTGTCGATCAGTTTAACCTCAGTTACGTTCCCTGCCAACTAACCTTGCTGTCAAAGTAAAATCATCTCTTCTATTTAGAAAGCAATGTAAACATTTCGCCAACGCATTTTTTATTATAGGATCATAGTTCGCCTTTTAAACACCTACGTCAAGTAGCTAGTAATACCACAATAAGTATGTATAAGTCTGATTTGGAACATTGTGGGAGTCCAGATTTTGTGTAACAAGGTGGTCTTTCTGCCTCAAGGTCGCGGCTGGAAGCTAAGCACCGTCAACAAATGCATTTTTAGCAGGAGGACGACAGGCATGACACTCATTTGAAAGACACTCAGACCTCACTCAGTTAACTAGTCTCTTGATCGAAACAATGCCGACAAGGGAGACTGGGCTGGCTGCTTCTGGTTTATTAGCTGTCGTTGGCCAAGCGTACCCCGGTCACAGGTTTGGATAACTAGGGAGCCGAAACTGGGATGTTTGAATATCGACTGTTAAGTCCAACGTCTCATCAGTAGACCATGGACTCGCTGTCTCTTCGTTGTGTGCAGGTGGGAGGGTCATTAACCGTTGTAGTACGAATGAGCATGTTTCGTACAGTAAACTGATTGGTGAAAGTCTCCTACGTTACTCTCGTAATCTCAAAGCTAGCCGCGATGACGGTCCAGTGAAATGCTTGCTAGATTTTACATATCACTCGGGAGTCTAACCCTCGGATTGCTTCTCCGCCCAAACTCCGACCTTTGCGGATTCGAAAAACCTCTCGCAATTGCTAAATCGCATCGAGTCGACTGCACAAATGGCCAGATTTCTGGTTATGACATTAGTGCAGCAGGTAGACGGTGCCGCGCCCTCAAAAAAGACGACGTCTTGCTCGTTCTGTCCCTTAATACCTTTCTGCCCCATTAGTCCTTGAGATCGGCGATCTGGTCGAGGAGCATCGTGCTCTTCCCTGTTTTCTGATCTCTTCGCCAATGAATAATTTACCCTGTCAGTGTCACTAAAAATTCGAGAACCCCCCCCCCTGCGTGGACTACCACTAAAGAGTTAATTCCCTCGGAATAATCTTCCCACCACTTATGCGCATGACGGCGAGGACAAGGCAGACTAGAATGGGCACTTCGGATTCATTTTTTGCCGCCAGTCAGCCACGTCTCAACCCAGCCAGGGAGGGTTGGATTTGGAGTACAGTTGGCTGCAGAACATCTAAGTCGCGCGCCCACCACTTGAGTCACGAACCCATTCCCTGTTGGCTGCGATCGTGAGTATTCAAAGTCACGTTGATGTCACCCTCTACCACACTGGTTCCAGGAAGGAAGGTTATCGTCGTGTTGTGCTCAATCTAGATTTCCCCGAGGCGACCGCATTGCTACAGACAAGCAGGGATTTAGGCGAAAGTCCGACAAAGACGGGAGGCTGGGATGACCATTTCTATCCTTCTTGTCCTTACCAGCTAAGCAAAGTAAAGTACGCATTTTCGTACGATCAGATTGGTGAAACTTCACCTCTCCTTGACTGCTGTCCCTAGGCTGTCAGTGGTGGAAGATAAGGTCAGGGAGTAGATATCCTATGAGAGGACTGTCGATCTATCTTTCCGTCCAAAAAGTGAGTCAGTTGACGAACAGTCCAAGCAGTTGTTTTGATATCTGTCCATGTGTGCGGCTAGTCAAGAAATACGAAGTCGTTGGAAGGCCAGCCCTCGTAAGGGGCCACGTCACTAGGTGGACCAAAGGTACCACAATGCTAAAATCATTTTGAAGCTCGTAGACCACATGCAGCAGCAAACATTTTTGGATAGTGTGGAGCTTCGCCAGCAAGATCATTTCGCCGATTTTGAGAAACGCCAATAACCAGATATCTTGCCTAGTTGATTTCGACGCCCAAATCCTTCGGTAAATCGGTCATACTTATGATCCGGAAACTATACCACGTCTCAGAACCCCTAGACGCAATGGATATCTGTCTACGGGTTCCACCCCGAGCCGGCTCCACCAAACAGAGCTAGCCGTCTGACAGACGGAGAATCTGGATGAATGATTTATTGACGAGTGATTTGGTGGCGTGTGAAACTCGTAGCGTTCTGCTTAAAATCGCACCATATTTGCGCCGACCTACTTCTCAGGAATGGGTAGTTGAAAACCCAAAGTCTACTTGCGTCATCGGTTTCTACTGGCCAACTTTCCGATTGTTGCATCGGCGTCGATCGGATTTAGATCTTGTGAACTCTTATGAAGATGACCTTCACCCATGTGTCCTGACTTCAGACGGAGCGTACTCCCTTCGCAATGCTGGTAGGGCCGAGCCACGCCTGCAGATAGTACGACTACATAGTTTGCAACCGTTTGCTCATCGAACTGGAGGGTACGACTATTTTCAGCTGGTCCCAACTGAAGGCTATTTCACTATCCGCTATACGTGGACATGCAAGGTTGACCGCGGCTATGCGGCATACAGGACCCGTCTTCTCTGGGCTTCTCTTATGCTGGTCGGAACTATCCCTAACCGACAAAGAAACCTACTGTCAGTACCACTAGCCACAAGGATACCATGAAGTCCTCCCTGAAGCTACTGCAAATCAACCCGACCAACTGGGAAGAGCTCGCCCGCCATCGTCCGACATGGAGGAGAACAGTGAAGACGGGTGCTGCTATCCACGAAGCCAACCGCATCGCCGCCACCAAAGCAAAACGCGAAGCCCGCAAATCCCAACTGCGCCCAGTCAGCAACGCCGCCGCACAACCGCTTCCAACGTGTCCTCGATGTCAGCGGACATTCCGGACTCGAATCGGCCTTGTTGGACATCTTCGGATCGACTGTAACTCTCGAACTGCACCAAACTTCATCCCCCCGCCCGCCTCATCCTCGTCGTCTCTGCCGCCAACTAACTCTGACAATTCTTCGGCACCACCACTTCCATCCTCCTCCTCCTCCTCCCCCCCTCCTCCTCCTCCGCCGCCGCCGCCGCCGCCGCCGTCGCCGCCACCTCCTCCTCCTCCTCCTCCTCCTCCTCCTCCTCCTCCACCACCACCACTGCCCCAACGGCGGCCGCTCAGGCAGCCGTCTCGCACATCACCAACCGCGACACAACAACCGGCACCACCCCCGCCTCTCCCGACTCCAGCTATGAGAATCAGGACTACACCTGCCCTCACTGCGATCGCACCTTCACCTCACGTATCGGCCTGGTCGGTCACTTGCGAATTCATCGCACAGAGACCGGAGGACCAGTGCCTGGAGCACCAGCCTACACCGACCGCGCTCGCCTCCACTGCCCACACTGCCCTCGCACCTTCACTCATCGCATGGGTCTATTCGGCCACATGCGCATCCACGAGAGTGGAATTGACCACAATTCCGACATGCCAACCACGCCCATCATGCCCAGCACCACCCTCGCACCGTCCATCTGCGCCACCACCAACGCCTCCTTTGTAGCTGATTCTGACACCGTCGACTTCACATGCCCACACTGTCCACGCACATTCACCTCACGCATCGGCCTGGTCAGTCACTTGCGAATCCATCGCACAGAAACCGGAGAACCAGTGCCTGGAGCACCAACCTACACCCACCAAGCTCGTCTTAACTGCCCACACTGTCCCCGCACTTTCAGGCACCGCATGGGCCTATTCGGCCACATGCGCATCCACGACGACCTGCGGTAGACAACCGCCGGCCACACCACACATCCACACACGCCCTACCCTCCTCCATCATCACCAACACACATCAACACTCACCCACCGCATGCACCCAACTGCCACCTTCCACGCAAGTGGGAAGTGTGCATATCGACTCGGTCCCCACGCGGCTTCGGCTGCACGGGTGATTTGAGTCCGAGACTATCCCGACACTTCAAGTGTCGTGGATAGGAAGGTTGCTGATTGACGCCCGCTCTCGGTTCACGCAGTTCGTCGCGCTGTGTGTGAATGCTGTTTGGAGTGGCGGACTGGTGGGCTGGGAACGGGCTGAAGCAGCACCTTCCAGGGCCCTCTCACTCAAGTGAGAGACACGCCGTTCAACCCCCGTTGTGTGAAATCCTGGTGTTTGTGTGTGTATGGGGGGCTAGGTCGTGCTGTGGCGCGCGCAGTCACGGTCAGTCGACCGTGGCAGCCACTGCGCCCGTTCCCCACTCCAGTTTACCGACCGGCTCGGACGGCGGCTGGGGTGTGGGAGTGGGAAGGGAGAGTGAGGTCGACGACTCAGCGCACTTTCTCCTCACTATAAACAATCTGACGCGCTTGAAGCTATCACGGTGCGCTAAAAGCCGTGGCTTGGAAGGTTGCCAACTGACGGGGTAACTTGGACCTCCTCCTTGACCGGAGGCGGTCTGAGAGTCAGGCTGCAATGGCTCCTTTTTAATGTGGCCTTTATGGCACTCCCATCACAGTGTGGGATCCGAGCCAGGCGTTGGCGGCACGCCCAGGTGCGGCTTCGGCCGTGCCAGCCTCCAAATCTCTCTTGTGATTGGTTGAAATCCTGGTTATTTGTTGTGTGGACCAGGGGGTGTGGTGGAACGCCGAGGTGAGGATCCGTCCGAGCCATCCACCTGCGGCCTCCCTCGTCTCCGGTCTTCTTGACTCTGTCTTGACACCGGGCCCAGGCGGGGGAGGAGGAGAGAGTGCAGGTAGATGCTACGGAAGTCCACTGGCACTAAAAACCTCTGCGAAAGTCACCGTCCCTGCTCCAACCTGCTGTGGGGCACACGGTGGACATAATCGAAATCGATGGTCGAACTGTCAGTTGTCCAAGTATGCCTTGACAGTTACAGGACCCCGATACGTGGTCCATGAATTGAATTTCAGTTCTCCTCACGACAGCGCAATCATTATCTTATCGTCAAATACTCCCCACCTCGATGGCTGGTGGCAACAGCTAAGCACGAGGCAACGATTTTAGTTTCTTGCTGCTGGTAAACACCTTCAACTGCAGGAAACGCAGAAGTAGTTTTTTTGTATTAAGAATCTCCATGTGACCGTGCCACAGTCTGAATGGGAAGTCCAGGGATCACCTCTTTAGTTCTCGCCCTCATTAAGCAGTATCTCCTCCTCGTGGATATCGGGAATGGTCAGGACTTTACCTTCGCATCATTGAGACAAAGCACATTTCGAATCACGTGCCTAACAGGCTTTCGATGATTCGGAGGTATAAAAAAGGCTTTTTTCTCGAACTCATCTTTCGCCCTACTACCTCGATTACGGATTGTTCAGGAGTTTCTAGTCTTCGCTGGCTACTGTGTGAAACTCAGTCTAGACCACTGTGTCCAAAATAAGGAGAACACCGTGATAATCCAGGAAAGGCAGGCAAATAGTGGTTTTTTTAAACCCCCCATGCATTCTGCAACTTGCCGCTCGCATTTCAGCGTCGGGAAAAATAGTGGGAAACTGGTTTCCTGATTATTTCATTCCTGCCGTCTTAACGTAGGCCTAAAGGTGTTGGGATGGTCAACGTCAAAGATATTGAGGATCTCGTAAGTCAGTGGCGGTGGTGGGAGGGGTGGTGGCGGTGCGACTTCGACCGAGCCAGCCCATTTTGTTGTTATTGGTAAAAGTCCTGGTCATTTTGTGTGTGGACCATGGGTGTGGAGTGGAGCGCCAAGGTACGGGCTCGACCGTGCCATCCACTTGCGCCCTCTCCTGCTTCTGATCCTTTTGGCTGTGTCTTGAAACCGGGCCCAGGTGGGAGAGAAGGAGAGAGCGCGATAGATGCAGTGCAAGTTTGCATTCACTATAAACGCATTCACGCACAAGTCCCCGTCCCTGCCCTCACCTTGCTGTGAAGCACACGGTGGACATCGTCGGCAACGACGGTCGAACTTTCATAGGTGGTGGTGGTGGCTGCGTAAGGAAGGATAACACACTACCGTCATCGGTAACGAGAGATCACTTTCCAAAGTTAGATCAAGCACCACGTTATCACGGGGACAGCTTGCGCCGTGAAGAGAGAGGCACGATCGCTGTGACAAGAGCTTTATTCGCTTGACGTTTCGGATTCCTGCTAACCCGTAACAGCTTATACCAATCAGGTTAGTTTGCAGGCTCGGCGCGTTGCGCCTTGGGGCAGTCGCATAACGATCGGTAATGGCACAGGAAGGAGTACCGATAGATACAAGGGTGACTGGAACGGTCCTTTCTGGCTTATTGACAGACGTCAGTCATCCATACCACTTCCGGGTTTGGATAAGCTGGAACTCGAACCCGGACTCTCATGCGGTAGAGCGTTAAGCCCAGAGCTCTATCATTGAGCCACGGTCATTTAGTTCTGTCAGTTATGATCGACAATATAAGCAATCCTGGGAACGGGATTCGTCGATTTGGTTATGGGGCATGATTATCCTGTCGCACCTTGGGCCCCAATCTAGAGTCCTAGCAAGAAGTGTCGTAATGAGTCGATGGGAGATTTATCCATCACTCCACGCTAGTATTCGGCAATGCACTTTTGGCTTCTACAACTCGATCTAACAAGACCCAAAAATCCACTCCCCTCCTATGAAAGCAAGGAGGAAAGCACTATCAGCTGAAGAGGAGCCTCGACCGTCTGACTTTTGGTCGTAATCATCTGTGTCAGTAACGAACGGGAGTTCGTCATCGGCGCTGGTGAATGCTATGATAACTACTAGGCTACTTGGCTCACAAGCATTGCCGTTGGACGGAGGATTCGCTGGCGCTCTCGCCCGCACTCTGACCTAGGCAATTTTGCTAACAGTAATT